TCGATTCCAGAGCACCGAGTACAGCATCCTGGTGATTGGCGTGCCCAACGTAGGCAAGTCATCGCTCATCAACTCCCTGCGGAGGCTGCACCTAAAAAAGGGTATTTCTCTGCAGTGCCTGGGCTCAGGGAGGAGTGACCAGCGCAGCCATGGAGCAGGCTGTGGGGCAGAGCATCGCTTGCTTCTCTGACTCTGTCTCTCCTTTACCCGAGCACCGAGTACAGCATCCTGGTGATTGGCGTGCCCAACGTAGGCAAGTCATCGCTCATCAACTCCCTGCGGAGGCTGCACCTAAAAAAGGGTATTTCTCTGCAGTGCCTGGGCTCAGGGAGGAGTGACCAGCGCAGCCATGGAGCAGGCTGTGGGGCAGAGCATCGCTTGCTTCTCTGACTCTGTCTCTCCTTTACCCGAAGGGAAAGCCACTGCGGTCGGTGGTGAGCCGGGCATCACCAAGGCGGTGCTGACCAGAATCCAGGTACCGTCCCCGTGGCGCAGGCGGCAGGGCGGGGGCTGGCCTCTGCCTCCCCACGTCCTCTTGCAGGAGCTCTGCAAAACCCCTAGCCACGCGGAGCTGATCTCAGAGGGCTGCTCGAGTCTCCTTTCCAGCAAGACCTTAATGAAAGAGCTCAACACCTCGCTCGTTAGCCATGTCGGAGTCCGCAGTGCTAATTACGGAGCCGCGTGCCCTAACTGCTTTGCCTCCCCCTGTGCCAGGTCTGCGAGCAGCCCCTGATGTACTTGGTGGACACGCCTGGCGTGCTGCCCCCGAAGCTGGGGGACGTGGAGACGGGCATGAAGCTGGCACTGTGTGGTGAGGCGGAGGCTGTGGCCAGCCAGGGCTTCAAGCCCCGGCTGGGCCTGGTGCGCTGCCTGGGTGCCTGCGTGCAGCACGTGGAGGGCGGGAGGGATGGCGGGGGGTCTCAGGGCAGAGCTGGGGGGGAGCTGGGGCTTGACCCTCTTTTCCAGGAGCCATCCGTGACCACCTGGTAGGAGAGGACATCATGGCCGACTACCTCCTGTACACCCTGAACAAGCGGCAGCAGTTTGGGTGAGCCGGCGGGGGAACTGGGGAGGACCT